CCCCGCCTCATTTTCCTACTTCTCCTGACTCCTCTCCTGCTTTCCCTGCTCCTCCTCTCCTGATCTCCCCATTTCACCCTTGTTCCCACCCCATTCTCCCTCATCCTGCCTCTTGCCTTCTTTCTCTGCCCCTCAGGCCTCCTGCCAGAAGAGATCCTGACCCCCACCCTCTACCACGGCTACTATGTGCGGCCCCGGGCCACCGCAGCTGGGGAGGGCAGCAGGGCAGGGGCCTCGGAGCTCAGGCTCAGTGAGGGTAAATTTCAGGCGTTTCTGGATGTGAGCCACTTCACCCCAGATGAGGTGACTGTAAGGACTGTGGACAACCTGCTGGAGGTGTCTGCCAAGCACCCCCAGCGCCTGGACCGCCACGGCTTCGTGTCCCGAGAGTTCTGCCGCACCTATGTCCTGCCTGCTGACGTGGACCCCTGGCGGGTCCGCGCAGCTCTCTCCCACGATGGCATCCTTAACCTGGAGGCACCTCGGGGTGGCCGACATTTGGACACGGAGGTCAACGAGGTCTACATCTCCCTGCTCCCTGCGCCTCCAGATCCAGAGGAAGAGGAGGAGGCAGGCAGAGTGGAGCCCTGAGTGCCCTGGAGCCAGCACCCAGTGAGCCCCTTTCCACCTCTCGCCGTGATAGGAGCAGCTGCCCACCGCCCCAGAGGTAGCAGCATCCTTGGGGGAAGGGAAAAGTGCATGGCCCACAATGTATGGTTTGGTCCCTTGAGACATGTCAAAGTGTTTGTTTAGTCCTGGGTGGAGCTGAATAAACCCCAATCTCAGGGCCTTGTCTGTGCTTCTCCCTATTCTGTGGCCTGGACGATGGGATGGGCAGGGAGGGAGGAGGTCATAGCCAGCTAGACAAAAAGCTCCTCAGTTAGATGTACCCAACGTCACAGCACCCTGAGCTCACACTTGGATGCTGAGATCATACCCGGAAGCTGACACTGGCTCCAGATCAAATTCCTAGCCATAATTTTCTCACAATGCAACAAAAGAGAGAGTGATCCTGGGAGGGAAAAGGGATATGCCATCCAAACAGCCCAGAGGGCACTGTCTGAGCTGGTGATTAGAGACACAAAAACAAGGGTCTCCAGCCTGTCTGGCCTGTGTTGGGTAGGGGTTGGGGAAATCGTTTGAGGCTGGGGAGCGTTGACTAAAGCCCAGTTTTCCTGTAGTAAGGTCTGTCTGCTGAAAATGGTGTCTAATTCTGAGCGATGGAGTATGCCTATGCAGGGCACAGACACAGGAGCCTCTGCCACTGTCACCAAACCACAAAGTCTCTCCAACCTCCGCACAGGGACACCTTTTGTTTCTAGTCTTGGAACATCCTAAAGAGAGGAATCACTGCATCACCCACCCAATCCGAGTCTAAATACAGGGGGTCTAGGATTACTTGTGTGGTGGTGATGGCCAGAGAACCTTCCTTTGGACGCAGAGTCTTAATACGAGGGATATGCTGTGTTCAGGAAAGCGTGCGTGCCTGACTTCTCAATTCCTCCTTGTAGTTCATTGCATGTGTATGATTTGAGGAGTGTCCAGACGAGCTCCCCTGCCCCCAAAAATATATGTTTTACCAGATTGTGGTGGACACCTCAAATTCTTCCATTACAGTGGTTGATTCTGAACTTTTTTAGGTTACAGACCCGGGTGAAAAATCTAGCAAAAGCAATAGATCCTGTTAGCAGAAAAAATATACGTGCTCTCACGTTTGCCCTACAATTTGAATAGGTTCACACAGCTCTTGAGATCCATTCATGTACCCCTTCGTAGGCATCTGTGAATTCCCAAGATAAGAACCCTCACTCAAAGAATTCAATTCTTGGTTAAAAGATTACCATCTATTAATAATGAAAGCATGCATCAGAGAAAAAACTATTGATATATTCTTTTGTTCATCCATTCATTCAACAAGTATTTATCAACCCCCAGGTAATATACTATGGAGGATGTACATTACAAACATAAAATTTAAAAACTATGCTCTTTTATTGTCTACTCTGGGGAAACTTACATCTAGTTGTGAAGAAAAGGAGATTAGAAAGGATTCTAATTGGACTTCAGCCAAAATGACTTTACAATGATCTATTCTGTAATTGTTATTTTTACGGGAGATTTATTTAAAAGAAAGGCTTCCTGGGACACCTGGGTGGCTCAGTTGGTTGAGCATCCAACTTCAGCTCAGGTCATGATACCAAAGTTCATGAGTTCAAGCACTGCATTGGGCTCTGTGCTGACAGCTCAGAGGCTGGAGATTGCTTTCGATTCTGTGTCTCTCTCTCTCTCTCCGCCCCTCCCCGACTCATGCTCTGTTTCTCTCTCTCTCAAAAATAAATAAACATTTAAAAAAATTATCAAAAAAATAAAAGAGAGGGTTCCTTAGCTAGAAAAAAAAATTGAAATCTCTGATTCAGTCCGAATCCCCACACCATTCAAACTCTTTTATGACCATTAGTCAACTTCTTCCCGGACATTAAAAAAAATTTTTTTTATTCATTTTTGAGACAGAGCATGAGCAGGGCAGGGGCAGAGAGAAAGGGGGGCGGGGCAGAGGATCCTAAGCTGGCTCTGCACTGACAGCAGAGAGTCCAATGTGGGACTTGAACTCATGTACTGAGAGATTGTGAAGTGAGCCAAAGTCGGTCACTTAACCAACTAACTGAGTCACCCAGGCACCCCTCTCTGGGCATTTTAAGTGATGGGGAACTTTGTAAGTTCTTTCTCACAGTTCTTCATCAGAACTCTTTGGACATAATTCTTTTTTTTTTTTTTTTTAATTTTTTTAGCGTTTATTTATTTTTGAGACAGAGAGAGACAGAGCATGAATGGGGGAGGGTCAGAGAGAGGGAGACACAGAATCTGAAACAGGCTCCAGGCTCTGAGCTGTCAGCACAGAACCCTATGCGGGGCTCGAACTCACGGACCGCGAGATCATGACCTGAGCCAAAGTCGGCCGCTTAACCGACTGAGCCACCCAGGCGCCCCTCTTTGGACATAATTCTAATAAATTCTTCCTTCTATTGGCCCAGAATCTTCATTTCAGTAACTTCTGCTTATTGGTCTGGTTGTGTCCAGAAAATCAATGTAATCCTTCTTTCACTTGGAAGCCCCTTTTAGATATTTTAAAATAACTATCCCGTCCTCTTAAAGTTTCTCTCTCCCAAGTAAACATGCCTAATTCTTTTAACTATATCTTACAAAACTTTTTTAGAAAGTTTATTTTTTAAAAAATGTTTGTTTGTTTGTTTGTTTGTTTAAACTATCTCTACACCTAACATGGGGCTCAAACTCACAACCCCGAGATCAAGAGTCACATGCTCCTCTGACTGAGGCAGCCAGGTACCCCTAGAACTTTCCAAACTATTTATCACCTAGACAACTTTCTCTAGAACACATTGCCTTTTGACAGTGTAACTTGGAATTCAACATGTGGATTAAAATTATTATTCTAGGGGCGCCTGGGTGGCGCAGTCGGTTGAGCGTCCGACTTCAGCCAGGTCACAATCTCACGGTCTGTGAGTTCGAGCCCCGCGTCAGGCTCTGGGCTGATGGCTCAGAGCCTGGAGCCTGTTTCAGATTCTGTGTCTCCCTCTCTCTCTGCCCCTCCCCCGTTCATGCTCTGTCTCTCTCTGTCCCAAAAATAAATAAACGTTGAAAAAAAAAATTAAAAAAAAATTATTATTCTAGTCATGGACTGACTGATACAGACTTCAGTGGAATAATCAATTCCCTTGTTTATCACTGTAGACTTCTATTAATACTGCTTAAGGTAGATCAGGTTTTCTGGGTACCACAATACACTGTTGGTTCCTTTGGAGTTTCTGGTCATAAAATCTCTTTGATGTTTTTCTTAAAATTTTTCCTTTAAATTAGAGAGAGTGGCTGAAAAGGGACCAGGTTGTTGGAGGGCTTTGAGTGCCAGGCTAAGACGTTCAGATATCAGGATGAAAAGAATACTGTTGATGCTGGCGCATAGAAGGGCTTGCTAGGAAGAAGCATAGCCATGAAGTAAAATGCTAGTGCAATGATCCAGCACAAGAAGATAAAGTGAGATGCTTTGCCATCTGACAATTAGCTGAGAAGAAGTGATAACAATAGGTAGGACTTACTGAAAGCTTCCCACATGCCAGGCTGTGGACTAGAACTTTGTATACATTATCTCACGTAATCTTCACCCAATCCTCTATAACTCTCACTCTCATTATGCCCATTTCTCACAAGGAGACAGGATGGGGAGGAAGGAAATGTCCAGTGTACGCTCTGTGGAGTGCAGGGCTGAGTGGTGGGTCCTGAACATCCACAAGGGGCATACAAATAACAGGGCATCTGGGCAGTGTGGGGGTGGGAGCCCTGAAGGCAAGCCTTATGGGTTTCGCAAATTCTCCCAGAGCCCACATTTTGTATGGAGGAATTTGCTTGACTGTACCCTGCTCGCTGGTGAGTGCAGAATGCTTCTAACTTTGGGTCATTGGAGGGAGAGTCTGCCTTGAGTTGGAAGCAGAGATTCTGTAGTTCTGTACTGAACATGAGGAAGTGAGTGGTCAAGATGTGCTGAGAGGCCATTCCAGTCATAGAACCATGTGATTTCTGACCAGAAAGGAGATTAGGTAATGAGTTTAGTCCTCCTCTCTTTCACCATCGTGGAAAAAAAGTGATCTGCTCACATCAATTCCAAAAGCAAGGGAGGATATGAAAGGAACCCATTTCCCTAAATTAAAATTTCCTAGAGACTCCAGTATTCAAACCCAGATTCTGGACAGGGATAATAAGAAATTGATACTGATTACCTTGAAAGTGAAACTCCACTAAACCTGAGTAGTACTGGGAAACACAAGGTAAGACCCTTGACTCCATTGTAGAGAATGTATTTCAATGACCGTGTGATGTAGTAGAGAAACATTTACTAAGGAAACCCAGAGCCCTTTGCCATCTCAGGTTTCTTTTCACTGAAGCTTGACGCTCAAAGTTATGGCTTCTTCAAAGCAGCTCCAAATCCCAAAGGTGAGATAGCTCTCACCTGGAGCCCACGTGTGTTCCTCTACCACTTGGCTGGTAACAGTCACCTGGGAATCATTCCAGCAGGTGGCTTCCAAAGTCCAACCTGCTAGGTTGAAATCTGACACTGATAGAGACTCCCCGGGAGCTCTTACTGAAAGCTAAACCAGGAACCAGGAAATGCACAAGCCTCTTTATGTAGAAAAACAGCTGGGCTCCCTCCGCGGCAACAGAGCACCATGGGAAACCGGCTTTGCTGCGGGGGACACTGGTGAGTAGGGGCAGGGGGTGGAGGGTAACATCTCTGTTCGTGGACACGCAGGCCAAGAGAATAAGAGAAAGAGTGCAGCTAGTTCTCTACCAACCTCCCACAGCCACCTCCCTCTGCCTGGCACACCTCCCGGGTGCCAACACCAGAGCATTACCTCTTTCTGTGCTCACGTCTTTCAGAGAACACAGCCAAGCCTGCTGACGGTAGAATGGGCCAGAGCAGGATGGGAATGGTGAATTGGCACGGTTTCTCTCTGTCCTTCTCTTCCTCTCCTTTCCTTTCTCTCCCTTCCCTTCTTTCCCAGATGATGATGATAATTAAT